ACATAATAATAATAATAATCATAATCGTAATAATAGTAATCGCAGTAATAGCAATAATAGGAGCAATGACTTGAAATCCGGAAATCTTACAGTAATAGCATTGGGAAAGAAATCCGGAAATCTTACTTTTTTACGCTTCAGAAATCCAGCGCCAGCGCTGCTGGATTTCTGAAGCGTAAAAAGTAAGAACACGGCTCCGCTTTTAAAAAATTTTTCTCCTCTCCACATTTTTCTCCTTGCCCAATTACTAAAACTTAGCTCGGCTCGGCTCGGCTGTCACGCAAAACACAGGTCTGCAGATTTGGAATGGGAATGCGAGAACCTCCTCTTCCCGCTTAATCCCCGGGCATCAGTTCCCAGCTTTCCGCTTAATCCACGGACATCCCATCCAACCACCACTTTGCCACCATCCCCTCACCCCAAGGGGTACACCCGAACCACCCCAGCTCAGCCGAGCCGCATTTTACTGAAATTGCCCCGAAAGTTCTCATAAGTGCTGGGCTAAGTGTTGAAATGCGAAAAACCGGGGGAGAAGCACCAGGACTCCCAAAGAGTTCGATTCGGGGGAATTCTGTATAAAGTGATTCTGCTGTGAGGTTTCCGCGTTAGTGGGATGGCCTTGCCAGGAGTTCCGGTCCTGGGCCTCATATCCCTCCAGTTCTTGATACCCGCTCGACGTGCACAAGTCATTTCCTCACGTACCGCCCGAGTGGTCGTTTACTTTCTCGCTGGTACCATTTTCACAGCTAACAGATTCCCGGCTGTCCCTGGCTAAGTGCTGGGGTACCGTCCCTCATTGGGAAACTTGCCCCTCTCGCATGGAAACTTAAACTCACTGCCCCCGTGCAATATTTGATTCCCCTTACCCCTGTTCGTCTTTGGTTTCCCCTCACAGAAATTGGGTATTTCGAGAACGTAAAGGCGTAAAGAGCCTCAAAAGTGATGAGGAGACAGAGTGGAGAATGTTCGAGAGAGAGAGAGAGAATACACTTCTGGAGAGTGCATGGGTAAATTTACCCCCTTTGGGCAGCATGGGTAAATGGGGAAGAAGCGTGGTGGGGGAGGAGGGGGCAGAGCGAGAGGGAAGA